CTTAGCAGCTCACAATTATTTGTTGTACCATAAATGTAACAAAAAGTTTTTAACAAAGGTAATAAAATGACCTGTGTTTGATGATACTTGTCTTTATTTACTTTGATTTATGGAGTAATTTGGATTTCTTAACCTGATAAATTAAAAGGATTTATGTTAAAATAACACCGAGCAATAACATATATTTTTACATCTATGCAAATGCATATGCAATATTTGTAACTTAAATAAGTAATAATAAAATAAAGAGACAGTTATTTAACAATATGTTAAGGAGTAGTAACATTTGTACAGTCTTACAGTTACAACTGGCCCTTTGATGGCAGCCATAATGTTGAAGTGGCCCTCAGTGAAAATGAGTTTGACACTCCTGAAGGATCCAGTACAAAGTTTACAGTATTAAAGATTTTTATTAGAGGTAAGTTTTGCATAGACAGTATAATGATAATAGTTACAATGAAATCATTTTTATTATTATTTTAGAGACAATTGTCATTCTGCTATGACATCTAGCTCAAAGGTTTGCAGTATTATATTAGAAATTATTATTATAATTCTGACAGGAAATATTATAGTGATTATAAGCGTAATGAAATTATAATAATCTGCATAAAACATCACTCAAAATAGGTTCCCTCAAAAATGTTTGCAAAGTGTAATCGCTCAGTGAGGCTTTATTTTGAAGCAACCCCTGCCTGCTTTTGTTATTATTATTGAAACAAGTGAAATGTTCTTCCATAAAGGTTTTCCAACTCTTCCTCTAAATCAGCCACACTCATGTACTCAATATTGGAGTTATTGTCATTGGTTCCAATGGCTCCCCATGAGTCTGAACATCTGTTATTCTGGTCTAAGCAGCAGTATGCAGTCCAGAAATGACTAGGAATATTCACTCTATTGTTTATGTTATTAGTGCCTGGTACCACCCCTGTCACAATGTATACTGGTTGTAAATGGCATTCCCTTTCCAGATATTGTGCCATCAATTTTTCTACATTCCACCATAAAACACTGTTAAAATTATCAGCTTGTGGAGCAGCATTGGTGAGAGTGAATGTGGCATAAGCACAGCTCTGTGAGTTTGCCAGGTAGACTGGTGCCAGATGACCTTTGTGGTATTTAGAGTGGTAATAGTCTCTATTAAGAGCTTGACGGTCTCCACGTACTTGAATATCCACAGACCCCTCAGATGCCATGTTTGGTCCTCCATTATTATCATCAATCTGCAATATTATATCAAGAGAAAGATATGTTTGAGAATGCTAGAAATAAGAAAAGGAAAAAGCAAAAAACAAAAGTACATTCCAGTTCATAGGCAGCATTCATCCTTCAGCTTTTCTTGCTACACAACACACTTGTGTTAACACAAACATGCTACAACATCAAACTCTTTTACTTTGGAATCATTCATCTACTCATCTACGTTATTTAATTCTCTGTTTACTAAATGAAGTGCTTATGTGTATGGTTTTCTAAATTAAGTCTTTTTTCGTCAAGCCTTCAAATGTCGATTTGACTTACAGCACTTCACTCAAGAAATTCACTGCAATACAGACTCTTCTTGATTTTATTACTAAAGCTCTACTCCAGATTTCTCATGGTTAGGATGCATTGTTTGTTTCAGTAATGGATGGTAAAATACTTTCACTATGTACTATAAATTTTGTATTGGTGTAAACTAGAGTGTAAACAGAATTAATTTAGATAATAATATAATAATGTTTATTATTAAATACTAATATTTCACTTACTTGAGGTTCAATGTACCAACTAGCTCGTCTTTTACAGTGCATTATCCCTTCAAACTTGTAGGCTGAGTACACAGGGATCTTGTTGCGCGTGTCATAAAATGTGGCATAATAATCAACATTATTTTGCATTTGGCAGATCTGTCTGTACTGTCGTCCAGGAAATATTGTAGGTGATCTTCCATTTGCAAAAAAAGGGCCACATTCACTCTCAAAATTCTGCACAACCCTGGCTGAACCACCGGAGAGAAGCGACAGCATCAGCACATGAAGAAGCAGCAGCATGATGAAGAGGATGAGATGATGAATTATCAAGTTCTCTGCAGGTACAACAAGCACATGTGATACTTTTTATTTTTTGTAATTGCTATAACAGCTTATATATATTAGATTTATATTATAAAATATTACTCAAATATTTTTTTATAATATATAAATCACATATAAACACTTACCTAAAATGTATAGCAGTGCAAGTCCAAGATCCAAGTCCAAGATATTAACCTATTCAAGAAACAATGATGTGTGAATGTAAGAAACTGTTATGATATCTTCCATGTAAGTAAATATCTACTATTAATTACTCAACAAATAATAAAGAATAAAATGTAAAAGACCAAAGGCAGCTCTATAAATATTACAGTACATACCGACACCAAAGGCAAAGAAACACTGGTGTTGTAGTGAGATGGGCGAGTATTTCTAACCTCCCGGTGTCATTCAATATATGAACACTTTTAAAATAATGAGGCACACAAACTTGATGCACAGTGTATCTCCCAATAGCTACAATACATATTTAAACTAATTTCCTTAAGTCCACTTAACAAGTGTGTTTGATTAGGAAAATAAACATTTAAAGTAAACAATATATGACTTTTGTTACAGGATACAGAATATCACAATCAATTGTGGCCCTCTTCACCCAAATCCACTTGACATTTTTTTGCCAGGTGAATGATCATGGTCTCTATTTTGCCAGAATGACTCACTGGCACCCAAGTCAGTCCACATGGTGACCATTTTCTAGTCATATAGATCCTGTTTACTTGAATGAGGAAAATAATTATCTTAAGGTGTTTTCCAAGCTTAAGTTTTGATAGCATAGGACACTAAGCAAACTCTTCCTGTTCTTCCTGTATCACATTTTCTAAGTTGAATTTGTGCCTAAATTTGTTTTACAGTCCAGTAAGATCTCACAACTACTGGTAATTTTCTTAAAGGAGTGAATACAAACAAATGCAGAAAGTGTTTAACATTTCTCTCTATTGTGTTGTAGTTTTCTGTCACCTTACTGGGAAAATCAACATCAAGCTTTTTAGTATGTGATACAATGTTTCCAGCAATGGTTTTTTTCAGTGTAAATACATTTATGTTGCAATAATATTACAGTGACTGAATGGGACAAGTTTCTGAACACCTAATGTGTCTCAATAAACACAGAAAACCCCCCAAAAACTTTATAACATGTACTTAATAAATAATGAATTGTTAGGTACAGTGTATCTATTTTGTTCATGTTGAATTTTGCTGTTAATAAGGTGGGTGCAGGTATGGTTAGGGGCAGGTTTGGTGGTATGGTTAGGTTTAAGGGGTATAGGTAGGGTCAACAGTGTAATTCTAGATGTCACTACAGAAATTAATTACAGATGTAATTACAGGACGGTATTTTCAAATATAAATGTATATTTATATTTACATAAATACAACATGTATGTACACAAGTGCACTGTATCAAATGATTAATTTAATATCTCAGCGAACCCATCAGGCTAAAAGTTAGTCCAGAAAATGTGCATAAACAACATTTTTGAGCAAAAAGATCATGATGCTCCTGACAACTTTCCTACAGCTGCCATATATTGAGCATTATGTTTTTTTCTTTTCATCGAGATATTTGTCTAATCTTTATACTGTATCTGGACATATATGCCCTTGATGATTCTCATGAAGTAATAAAAAATAAAATCAATCTTTATTTCATATTAGTGGAATATTTGATGCACTTAATTTATACACTTCATAATTGCATAATTATTACAGTCAAATATATTTTACTGATTTAATAATTCAGCTGATAATTACAATCATTAACTCAAAAATAATATTAATAATTAAAATGTGAGATAATGTTTTTGCTTTTGTTGGATTTGTAGAGCTATCAAACAACTGAAAAGATGAATTATAAAGGTTTGTCAAATCTCTTCTCATGTTCAGTTTTTCTTCGGGAGCAATGTCCTCATTCGTTCTTGTCAGGATGTCTACTGTGAGGAGCGAGGAACGCAGAGACATAGGAGTAGCAGGAATAACAGTCTTTAATGAACAAACCAAGGGGTAACACAAGGCAGGCAGGAGACACACGTAGCACCAATAGATGTATAACACCGGACAAAGGAATCATGGGGCAGACAACACTATAAATACTAGCCTAAACGAGGGGTAATTAACGGGACACAGGTTAATCAAATGACTAATCAACGAGAGGGAGAAATTGGGTCACAGGGAGCACATGGGGAGAACACACAGACAGTCCATGGGCGTGACATATCGCCCCCCTCCCGGAAGGTGCGTCCTCGCGCCGCAGGAACAACATAGGGAGGGACGGGTAGGACCTTTAATTTGATTAAAAAATGGATCACTTGACAGCCCTAAATAAAATGTAAAAGGCCAAAGGCAGCTCTACAAATAGCCTAGTCCATACTGGCACCAAAAGCATAAAAAAAATATCGGTATAAAAAGTATATGTGCTTAGGTCTAGCTATATTGTATTTATACTGTTGTCTACGCTTTACGTATTCCCCCCATAAAGGAGGCCTTGTAAACAATATGGAAAAAATCACTCTGACGAATAAATAAATAAACAAACAAACAATCTGTTATTGCCCAGAGAGAAAAAAAACATTAATTGAACATAAACCGAGAGACGTGGGAACGGAGCGAGGCCGGTGGGGTAATTGATAATGAGCGACACCTGCGCCACTCACCGGTCTCGAGTCCCACGGAGGAGCTCCGGAAGAATAAAAGGAGGAGCTACGACAGTCAACGACGAGAGGATCAGGCCTGGATTTTGTTTTGTGTGCGGCAGTCGTCCGCGAGGGGCTGCCGCTTTACTTTCATTTTGTGTTGGTTTATTTTATTAAAGTGTTTAAATGTTCGCCGGTTCCCGCCTCCTTCTTCCCGAACTACGAACTGTGTTACAGGGGCCAAAAAACTTTCTTTTTTCAATCAAAAAACAAAAACAAAACAAAAACCATCTTTATTTAATATTAGTGTAATATATTATGCACTCCATTTATACATATTATAATTGTTTCAATTATTACAGTCGAACATCTAAGAATTGAAAGAATTCTTGAAAAACTGGAGTTCATGTTAGTACACCTTTTCAAAGCATGAGCATGATTTTCTTCATGATTCCGCTAACAATTATAATAATTGAGTCAGAAGTAACAATAACAACAAAGAAAACATTTGATAAAGTTTCTCTTTCAGACAATAGCTCACTGGTGCTTTATTTTGAAATAGCTTATTTTCATTTTCTGATTCACTTTGTTTCTTCGATGGGAGTTTTGTAGAGTTATCAAACAACTCAAATGAATCAACATTATAAAGCTTTGCCAACTCTGTCTCTAAATCCTTCACAGTTTTGTTTTTGGGAGTATCTTTCTTGTTCTCTCCAATAAACCCGCTTGAGATCTGACATTTGTTATTGTTGTCCAAGCAGCAGTACACAGTCCAGAAATGACTAGGCACTTTCACTCTATTGTTTATGTTATCAGTACCTGGTACCACCCCTGTCACAATGTAAACAGAATACTTCTTCGGTAGACATTGATCGGACAGTTCTTCTGCAATTTTTTTTTCTAGTACCCTCCACTGACCTCGGTTAAAAGAGGGGTTTTGTGGAGCAGCATTAGTGAGAGTGAAGGTGGCATAAGCACAGCTCTGTGACTGTGCCTGGTAGACTGGTGCCAGATGACCTTTGTCGTAACGAGAATTCTCATAGTCTCCATTGAGAGCTTGACGGCCTCCAAGTCCTTGTATCTTTCTCGAATTTCATGTTTGGTGATGCATTATTGTCGTCAAGCTGCAATAGTGAATCAATTGAAAACATTAGCTTAAGGAGAAGAGAAAACAAATCATACTAATATGTGATGCAAACTCTGTAGGCTGAGATCATACCACCTTTCTTTACAGCTCCTTCTGTTATTCAGCTTTGTACTGTACTACACATATAATATATTAGCAATATCTCTCTTATTTTATAAGCATTTATCTGATTTAGTATCCTCATGTTTCTTTAGATTTTAAAGCTGTTTGACACATTATTTGGTGCTCATACAGAATGATCTTGAATTATGGAATGGTTATGGAACCAATGGATCTAGTTGGAAAGATCTCAGTCAGATCCTAATTTATGTTTTCTTCAAACTTATGACACTTATGAGTAAAAGAAGACTAAGAGCTGTTATCAAAGGAGGCTGGACAAAGTATTACATCATAGGGTGCTACATGCATACAATGAGAAAAATATGATTTAAAAAAATGTATATTTTTAAAATGATTTTACTTTAAAGATTAGCTGTGAATATTTTCAAAGTCTAAGAGGATAAACAGCAAAGAAATAACTCCACCCACACTAAATAAATAAATAACAAATGTAATATGGTACAACAATTACCTGAACCCATTTAGAGTAATATTTCACTTACTTGAGGTTCAATGTACCACTTGTCTAGTCTTGTGCAGTCCTTTAGCCCTTCAAACTTGTAGGCTGAGTACACGGGGATCTTGTTGTCAGTGTCATAGAATGTGGCATAATAAACATCATTATTTAGAGTTTGGCAGATCTGCCTGTATTGTGGATCAGGAAATATTGTTGGTGATCTTCCATTTGCAAAAAATTGACCACAGCCACTCTCAAAATTCTGCACAACTTTGGCTGAACCACCGGAGAGAAGCGACAGCATCAGCACATGAAGAAGCAGCAGCATGATGAAGAGGATGGATCAAGTTCTCTGCAAGATCAAGAGCCACAATACATATTTTACATATAGCAATAGCATATATTTTGTAATATTTAAAATCACATATAAATAGCATAACTGTACTTACCTCAAAATTTAGAGCAAGAGCAAGTAGCTATTAACCTATTCAATGAAGAGAAAATAATGTGATAATGTAAATAACATAACACCTTCAGTTTAGTAATTAAACACAGGAACTAATATAATACTGGAAACTAATATTAAACCATTAAACAATAAAGAACAAAATACCTGGTCATGCAGGTTTGCGCTTAACAACAGAAAAATCCGGTCCTTATCTCATTTGAAGGCTGGACAACAGCAGTGCTCTTCTGGCCAGCATTCAGCCAGCATGACTAGGCTTCTGCACACAGCCACAACGTAGCACTGCGTCTGGTCTTCAACCAATGAGCAGGTCTATGTTCATGGTCTCACTTTAAGCATTAAACAACATCCAATATTTATCAGAGTTACGGTCTTGCAATTAGAAGAAAACCTTTTCCCACCATTTTCACTTAGTATAAATATGTGCATCAAACGTGCATCGAGGACTGACACGGAAGAGAAGAAATTGTTGAATAGTCATTATTTTTGTTTTCTTTGCGCACAAAAAGTATTGTCATAGCTTCATAAAATTACGGTTGAACCACTGATGTCACATGGACTATTTTAACGATGTACTTACTACCTTTCTGTGCCTTGAACGTGGTAGTTGTGTTGCTGTCTATGCACGGTCAGAAAGCTCTCAGATTTCATCAAAAATATTTTAATTTGTGTTCTGAAGATGAACGAAGGTCTTAAAGGTTTGAAACGACATGAGGGTGAGTAATTAATGACATTTTGCGATATAAAATTTCACAATATTTAACTATATTAATCTGTGAATGCTTTATTTGTAAGACTTAAAGGCTTTATATCAAAACTTGAAGTTTTTCATGCATGTCTTTTCCTTGATATGTTGAACTGATTGAACCCAGTTTTGTGAACCATATTAACCTATTCACTGTAAAGATGACTCAAAAGAACATTATGCTCACCAATCAGACATCTCAAATTATCTAATGAACTCTCACTCTTCTATTACCTGTGAGAAAACAACAGATGTCTGATCATCTATAGGTCCAACAAAGTGGTTGTAAAAGCTGAACTGCTCATTAGGTTCAGATGGCCTGTGCCTAAACTCTGGCTATAGCATCTCAAACTAAGAGATAGAGAATATCTCAGTGAACACAAAGCATGAAGATATGAACAAGGTTTTATTTTGGCACATTTCATCCTGGTAAAGAGTTTGTTTACACCACCTTTTTACTGGGAAACGATGACCTTATTAAAAGTTGTGATTGTCCATTTAGCTCAATGATCTTTTAAGTCCAAACACATGGTTTTCCTGGAATCCTTTCACCAGATTGTTAATATATTTTTTTTATTAAATAAACAAAAGGAGAACCCCTACAATGCATAATTCTGACCTCTCTCTCTCTCACAAAGTAGCACAGGTCAAGCATTACCCAGGTTAATCCAACACATGATTTCCATTTTCTGATTTCACCTCATGTCACTGTTTCATGGGCTCTTCAGCGACACGGCTTTTGAACAGTGTGATCTCGTCCAGATGGCAAAGTGGCATACCT